GGAATTCGAACTTTTTGTCTGGTTGCCCTGTGACTTAGAGATCCAACCTTCACTCAATTGTTGGTTGATTTCGTTATTTTCGTATAAGGTACACTTTTTCTTAGCTCGATTTTGAAATCTATCGTTTGATTTTAGATTTGACTTGGGAATCCAGTTTTTGGATCTTCATGTTCATGGTTTGACTTGAATTATGCGAAATTCTGTTTGTTTGAATTACGAATTGTGCTGAATTATGGTTTTTAACTTTTGGAGAATTTTGATTATGATAGATCTTTCGAATCCAACAAATCTGGCGATTTCTTCTGGGATTTCTCGTCGAATTCCCAATCAGAATTTCTCCGCGAAGGCTGATTTTGGTTGAATCAAGCAGAATTCAATCGAAATCGGGATATTCTGAGGAAAAAGCTCAGCAATTTCCGAGTTCAATTTTGAAATTAGCCACTACAAGTCGCAGATATGAGCTGATAGCTACATAATTCCGTCAAATTTCGAGAGAAATCACTCCAATTTCGTGAGGAAATATCGGTGATAATCGTGAGAATTCCCGCGCACATATTTAATTCATAATTTTTGAAAAAAGAATTGTTGAAATAGAGTTTCCTCAACCTCGTCCTTTCAAAACTGAAGGTAACACTTTTATTATATAAGATATTTTTACCAATTTACTATCTAAAAAAACAAGATTTAAAATTTTCGTTTAATTAGAAAATGGATTATGTTTTTTTTTTTCGTTTTTAATTTTGATTTTTAGAAGAATTTCCATAGGGAAAAACCAACACATGATTTTTTATCGCTCTGCAGTCACTCAACAACACACCAGCCAGATCCAAAGCCAACACCTTCTTCTCAAGATAATTTTTATTTTACCGTTTTACCCTTCTATTTATTTTATTTGTTTTTTTCATTAAAAGATTCTCTTAAAGGCGTCACGTTTTTTTCACTTGTGCGCGTGCATCTGAGACCTTTGCATCATGGACCAAAAATGTTGCTATTTCATTGGGTTCTAATGGGCCCACATGGTATCATTAAGATTAGTCTGATATTAATTTTAATAATAATTTAATTTTTGAAATTCATTGAATTTTTTTAAAATTTTGTATTTCCATTGGTGATACTCAATAAAATTTTTAAAAATAAAAAATAATTTAATTTTTAC